TTAAAAATTTTATTTAATTTATTTTTTAAACCTGTGTAGGGAACTGCTTCTCGAGGTGGACATGTAGCTCAGCACCCATGTGGAAAACCAATGTGTGTGTGTGGGCCGGGGGCGAGTCAGCACATAGGACCACACCCGGGAAGAAATTCCTCATGGGAAATCAGGCCTGCATTATACCTAGGCTGCTCTGTGACTTGCTCTTGCTAAAACTCTCTCACCCTGAGTTCAGGCAGCAAACGCTTGCTGCATATCTTTAAATTAACTTCCTGAAGTCTGTCCTAATTCTCCAAAGGACTGAAGTGTAACCACACCTGTTACTCTTACCGTTGGCTTGCATTTGCAACGTTTTTTCCTTGTTAATCTGTAAGAAGTAATCAGTAACATCCCTTCCATGGCTATCTGTAAAAAGTAATTACCTAAAGCAAACCTAAGCATAATGAATGAAAACCTCCTATGATATATGCTGTTAGAAAGCCAATAAAAGCCTGTCAAGGCAAGGGTTGGCGCGCTCTCCCCTTGAGAGAGTGGCTGAGCCATCCCTTTTCCTCCACAGGACTCAGTAGTCCGTGTGAATTTGTCTCCTCATCCACAACGCCATGGACACTGTGGGCTGGTGTCTGTGTCAAACCTGACTCTTGTCCAGTGGAAGGTTAACTGGGTATTGCTTTTGGCATCTCCACACCTCCTCCCACCCCCAATAGTGAACGACGATAAATGTTTAAACGAAGCCCCCTCTTGGTGACAAATACCATTCCAGGTGCACAGGCTCCATCCTGCGGACATCACAGACATAGGAAAGACAGAAAACAAACATGTCACCAATGGATAAAGCAAGTTGATGTTATGGTGGAAATAAAAAAGAGGGCTGGGGATGGAACACCAGCACCTCAGGGTGTTAGGAAGGTCTTTCTCAGAAAGGGGTATTTGGGGCAAGGCCTGTAAGAAATGAAGGAGCTGGCCAGGAGAAATATTAGGGGGTCGGGGGGCGGGCAGGGCAGAGGGAACAGCACAGGTGAATTCTCTGAAGCAGGGCAATGCCTGGCAGTTTGGAGAAAGGAGGCTGGTGTGGCTGGAGCTAAAGGAAAATGGGGAAGAGGAGGAAGAGGAGGAAGAGGTAGGGAGGTGGAAGGAGCAGGGCAGTGGGTACTCATGTGAGGCTTTAGCGCAGGGGAGGTCCGCGGTCTGACTTAGGTCCCAGCAGTGTCACTGGGAATCGGACTGTGTGGTGAAGTCAGACTCTTGCATACTGCCCCTCAAGTCCACACGCTGCTTCTCCCCACAGCCAGGACCAGTGTTACCAACCACCCTCAGACCCCTAGGACAAATGACCCCCAAACCTGTTTAATACAATAATAAGTAGTATTACAAGGAGGTAGGGGAGGAGACAAATCCAGGAGGGCCCTCGAGGAATTTGAGCAAGTCGCAGTTACATTTTAGCCAAATTCAATTCCTGGCCTCTCTAAGTCTCAGTTTCCCCCGCTGGACGATGAGGTGTTTATTTTTCTGCTCCTTCCCTCCCCAGCTGCACAGACGGTAGGCAGAGAATGTGGGCCAGTAGAACGCTGAAAAAGGGCAAATTGGTGCCTAAAGGCTCAACAGGATTCCTCCGCGAGTCCTGGATCTACCGGCTGCGAGAGAACCGTGGGCTCTGGCGCGCCCTGGCGGCCGGGCAACTTCCAGCTGACGCCGACGGACCAGGTGTGAAGATCTGGCCGCCATTTTGCCTCCAGGCAGTGGCCATATTGGTAAAGGCAAGATTCTAGATTGTCTCTACCCGCCCCTCTTGGCTCGCGAATATCTAAAGTGAGTACCGAGGATGACATTTTATAAAATATACGCTTCCTGAACAAAAAAAATAAATGGATGATGACCTTGACTTGGGGAGACCGGGCCAGCATTTCCTTTACCGAGATGGCTACAGCACAGGGACGTAATCAGCGCGCGCTGCCGGGAGCTCAGCCCACAAGCCCGGCGGTGACGTCAAGAAGACGCGACCGGCAGGCGCTGGGGGGGAAGGAGGTAGGAGCTGCCGCGGCGCGGGCGGAGCCGGGGTTCGGGGGGCGGGGTGCGGGGTGTCCGGTGGGCAGCTCGGCCTGGGACAAGCCCTCGGGAGGGCTGGAGGTGCGATGCTCGGAGACAGGGGTATTTCCTGCGCACAGTCTCGACGGCCCCCACGGGGGCTGTGCCCATTTCCTAGAGCGCGCGACTGAGACCCAGAGGGATAGCGCCTTGTTCGAGGGCACACTGCACTGGCCTTGCCTCTGAGCGGCCTCCAGGCTTGGGGATGACAGAGTTTCCACGGACGCCCCCGGCTTCTTGCAGTGGGATCAGGGCTGGGAAGAGGGACGATGGACGGGGGGAGCCCAGAAGGAAGAGCGGGAGGGCTTCTTGGAGGAGGAAGCCTTGAGCTTCGTTTATTCTCTCTTACTTTCGCATCCAAGCAACCATTGGTAGGGTCTCGATTCCTACCTAAGTGTACCCCCGGTCCACCCAGAGCCACTCAACACTGCTTGAGTTCCCTGTTTCTGTCTCACTCCCACCCCTGAATTCACTTCCTCACCAACCCCAGAGTGTTCACACCCGCAGATCTGCCCCTCCAGCCTCTAATACCCTCTGCACCCTCCCCATCACCCTAAGTACAAATCCCTTTTCCCAGCCTGCCTCCCCCACTTTCTTGAAGGGCTCAGGTTTTCTCTCTCCTTTAGGCGGTTTCTTAGGTGTCTCATCCAGGAAGTCCTTTGACCCAGCCCTCTCTGCCTTCTCACTGGGTCAGAAGACCCCTCCAAGCTTCCCCAGCACCCTGCAGATTCCTATCACAGCTCTGATCTTGAGTTGTAACTCACTGTTTATTCTCTAGACAGCTTGGGAGTCCCATGTGGGCCGGAAGCCCATGGGCTCCACCTCTTCCTCCAGCCTCCCTGGGTGCATGTTTGCAGAATGACGAAGTGAGTGACTGTTTACTAGAGAAGAGAAGCTGTCTGTCTTAGTCTGCTCCAGCTGCCATAACAAAATACCACAGACTGGGCAGCTTAGACAACACATTTGCTTACAGTTCTGGAGACGGGAAGTCTAAGATCAAAGTGCCAGTCAGTTGGGCTCCTGGTGCAGGCTCTTCCTGACTTGCAGATGGCCACCTTCTCATTGTGCCCTCACATGGTGGAGAGAGCAAGCTCTGGTGTCTTTTGCTCTTATAGGGGCACCAGCCCTATTAGATTAGGACCCCACTCTATGACCTCATTTAATCTTTTTTTTTAGATTATTTATTTATTTATTTATTTATAGAGAGGGGAAGGGAAGGAGAAAGAGAGGGAGAGAAACATCAGTGTGTGGTTGCCTGTAGTGCATCCCCTACTGGGGACCTGGCCCGCAACCCAGGCATGTGCCCTGACTGGGAATCAAACCAATGACCCTTTGGTTCACAGGCTGGCGCTCTATCCACTGAGCCACATCAGCCAGGGCGTGACTTCATTTAATCTTTATCACCTCCTCAGTGGTCCTGTCTCCAAATACAGTCACACTGAGGGTTAGGACTTCAATGCCAGAATTTTGGAGGGACACAAACATCCAGTCCTAGGCTCCCAGCCTGAAGAGGCGGTCAAAAGAGCCTTGTCAAGCCTTGGGTTGGAGATGGGGGTTGTGGGCAGGGGCATGGGAGGAGGAGATGCTGGGGCAGAATCCCTGTGCATGGGCAGGGTTTTTACCAGAGGAGGGGACCAGGGAGGGTGTATCAGGCGAGGGCATAGCAAGATCAGAGGCTCAGAAGCTGGAGGGGGGGGTGAGTGGAAAGAACAGTGAGAAGCTGAGTTTGGACACAACAGCATGAAGTAAATACTGGGACAACCCTAGAAATCAACACTTGTTCATTCATTTGTTCAAAACATTTATTGAGAGAAAAAAAGAGAAAAAATTATTGAGCAAATGAATGAGGGCACTGAGGCACAGCAGTGACCAAGGCTGTCCCAGTACTCCCCCCATGAGCCCCCAGCCTAGTGAGGAGGAGGGACATTTGCCAGTCATATAAATGAACATAAAGCTACGCAGACAAGGGCCTCCAGTTTGTGGTCTTGAGAGTCAGGAGTATCTCAGGGAAGGTTTCTTGGAGGCAGCAATACCTGAGTTGAGTCCTGAAATTTAAATAGGAGTTAACTGGGTAAAAAGATGAGCAACGAGCAGCCAGGTGGAGAGCACAGCAAGTGCAAAAGCCCTGAGGCAGGAAGCTGCTTGATATGTGTGAAACAGCAAGGAAGCTGGTGTGGCTGTTGCTGAATGAGAGAGGGGGAAAGGAGGGGAGTAGGGGGTGAGGAATATTTTCATCTGTAACTCAGACGGTGACCCCCACTTCTTGGTGCTCTCCTAGGGAATCTGGGAGGGGGCTTCTGTTGTAGATGATCAGGAACAAATGCTGGATGTAGTGTGGGGAGAGACTAAAATCATCCCATCTCAAATAAGGAAACTGGCTTGAAGGGAGCACGTGAGCTGCAGTTACAGAGCCAGGACTCAATCCCAAGTCTCCTGGGTCCACCAATCCCCAGTCTGTCCTGTTCTTCCTAATGGGTTTACTTCCCAGTCTCAGTCTGGAAGGACCACCCTTCTGTTTCAAGGGACGGGCCCCAGTAGCTTAGGGGTCCTGACCTGCATTGCTGTTCCCTGAGGGGTCAGCCAGGACCCTGATGTGGAGCAGTGGTTAAGAATAGAGTTGAGACCAAGGGGCTGGGCCTGGGTTGGAACCTGGGCCCCTCTACTAACGCCTCCCGTGTGGTCCTGAGCCTGTCATTTAACCTCTCAAAGCCTCAGGTGTTTCATTTGTAAATGGGGATCTGGCTAGGTACTTCAGCTTCCCCACCTTAGAATGGGGATAAGGACAGTCCCCAAATTTACGGTGTGGGGTGTTCACTGACTTGGTCCATATAAAGTGCTTAGTGGAGGGCCGGGCACAGGGAAGGTGACGCCTGCCATCGGGGTGCGTTGTTATTTCCCTAGTACCCAGCACAGGACCCGCACAGACCAGGTGCCCGCTGGATGAAAGCTTCATGATTATTACAGCGTCTCGAAGCCATGTGAGCCCCAGCTGCATCATTGATTGTAGTTCATGGCAGCTTCTTACCCAGGGTGTGGGGGACTCAGCCTCAGGGTGCGAGACCCAGGAACTGAGGCCTCAAAGGTGAAAGAGTGGGAAGGGCCCCATACAGAGTGGCCTGCAGGGGCCCACAGCGGCCTGACTCCTAAGAGCTAAAACAGGGAGACACCCCAGATGTCCATCAGTGGGTAGATAGATAAAATGTGGTCCATCCACACAACGGAATATTACTCAGGCATAAAAAGGAACAGAGCACTAAGACATCATACCATGAGGATGGACCTAAAAAATATCATCCAAACACAAAAGGCCACATGTATGATTCCGTCTACATGAAATGTCCAGAACAGGCAACTCCACAAAGACAGAAGGCAGATTATTGGTTGCCAGGGGCTGGGGAGGGGTGGTTTGGGGTGATAGAAATGTTCTGAAACTAGATAGAGGTAATGGTTGCATTTCACCTCAGTACATTTTTAAAAAGAAATCACAAAGTCTGAGCCCTCGGGGTTTTTTTCTTTTTAAGATATTATTTACTTATTTTTAGAGATGGGAAGGTGGAGAAAGAAGGGGAGAGAAACACTGATGTGTGAGAGATACAATTGGTTGCCTCTTGCACACCCCAGTCTGCAGACCTGGCCCGCAACCCAGGCATGTGGTCTGACCGGGAATCTAGCCAGGCACCCTTTGGTTCCCAGGCTGGCACTCAATCCACTGAGCCACACTAGTCAGGGCTGAGTCCTTGTTTTACTGACAAGGGCATTGAGGCCCCAAGGGGGTCCTGGATGCCCAGGAGTGAGTCTGGGGGTCCTGGGGGTAGATGTCTCCCACTCATTGGTCCCCATCCTCCTCCCACAGCCTGCTGAGGGATGCCCAAGAAGTTCCAGGGCGAGAACACCAAGTCGGCAGCAGCCCGGGCACGGAGGGCTGAGGCCAAGGCAGCTGCTGATGCCCGGAGGCACAAGGAGCTGGAAGATGCCTACTGGAAGGATGAGGACAAACACGTCATGAGGAAAGAGCAGCGCAAGGTGGGGGGCCCTGGGCTGCTGTGCCTGTGAGTGAGGCAGGCCTTGTCAGTAGAAGGTGGCTGGAGGCCTCGGAGGCTCTGGCCTGAAGGGCAAGGAGGCACTAGACCTGGAACAAGGGCAGGGAGGGAGGGAGTGACAATGGCTCATACAAAGGCCCTGGAGTGGCCAGGACTTGGCACGTTGGGGGAACAGCAAGGCAGATACTGCCCTCCATGGGCTTGTTCCTCTCCTTCATGTGATGCCAGGGTCAGGTTACACTCACAGTACTCACCTGGGGGTGATTCTGCACCTGGGGACATTTGGCAACGTCAGGACACATTTTTGGCTGTCACAACTGGTTGGTGGAGGGTATTCCTGATGTCCCGTGGGTCAAGGTCAGGCATGCTGCTCATCACCCCACAGTGCTCAGGATGAGCCCCCAGCAAAGAATGAGCCAGCTCAGACATCAGCAGCACCAAGGCTAGGAAATGCTGGGATGTCTCCATTTCTCACCTGTTGACCTGGGGCCTGCTGGATCTCCCAGGAATTTATAAAACAATGGGTGCTTAATTGGTGTCGGGAAATGTTTGAGGGCTGATGCTGACATGTCCCGCCCAGTAGGTGGTGCCAGAGACATGTAGCAGAGGCTCCAGGTCCCTGAGCTGGTCAGACCTGCCCAGAGCCCTGGGGGATGCGCTGGTGACTCAGGGCCAAGAATGGGGTTTCCTCTGTTGGAAAACTGACAAACGCTGTGGAAAATAGCAGTGGACGTGAGCATCCCTGCACGCCCAGATCATGGTTGCCTGGGCCCTTGCGGGAGCTTTCCCATCGTCTTTCTTTGCAGGACTGGATTCCACCTTGTCAGTGGACATTGAATGTCACTGGTTCCCTCCCCATCCCCCTTGCCATGCTGCAATGTGTTCTCAGAGGGCTTTAGACTTCCTTTTTGATTGTCAGCATTTTGACAATGTAGGAAAATTGAAAACCCAAAAGGAAAATCAGTGTCTGCTAAAGATCCATTATCCAGATAGAAAAGCCAGGGACCTGTTGATAGTCCGGGCCCCGAGAGTCTGCCCCAGACCTTCCTTTTGGGCCTTGGGGTCATCCTCATCCTCCAGACCAGGAAACTGAGGCTCAGACCACAGTGGCCCTGCCTGAGGTGCCTGAGCACAGAAGCGGAAACCCAGAAGCTATCCTGGAATACCTTTGACCTTTAAACCTGCCCGCACACACTTTTGTGCCATGCGGACAGGACGGAGGCTCAGTGGGTGTCCTTGGGCACATGGGCCCCTCTCCTGGGAAAGCCACAGGAGTGTCACAATCCTGGAAGCATGGGAGGCAGGAGGGAGAGTTGCAGGCACTGGTTAGGCCAGCAGGGGCGTGAGCAGTGCAGAGCCCAGCCAACAGCCCCACTACAAGTGAAGGAGAGCCTTGCTCTGTCCCCTGGAGAGGTGGAGGGGCAGTAGCCAAGGACAAGTCCTGTAGGCCAGATGTCCCCTCATCCCACTGGCATCTGGGTTTCCCTGGGAAATCAAGGTGGGGTGAGTCCCAGCCCGTGATGCTGGACTGGGGACAATGCCTCCTCCAAGGTCTGACCCAAAAGGGCAGAACTCCCGCCCTAGCTGGCAAATGGATCCAAACCCTCTTCGGCTCCTGTCACCTTTGGAATCCAATATAAACTGCTCTCCATGCCCTTGAGGCTCCTGAGCTGTTTCCCTGGCCCTTCTCCCTCCCTGCTTCCAGTCCCCATTTCAGTCCCATCTGTCTCTGTGCCTCCCCACTTCCTGCCCCCAGAGCCTATATACCTGCCATTCCCACCACTCTCCTGTCCCCCAGGGCTCCTCCTCTGGCCCAGGCATCACTTTTTCTTTCCAGAGCCACTCACCCACCTGTGTTGGCCAAGGCTCCCCACCGTTCCCATCATCCTGTGGGTTGGCCCTCGTGCTCCCAGCAGTGTCCCCTGCACCCAGTACGGATCTGGCACTCAGCAGGGCCTCAGTCCACATTGTTTGAGATGAAAACTTGGAACCCATGGCAGTAGGGTGGGCCACCTTTGACCGACCCATTCCCCCAGGAGGAGAAGGAGAAGCGGCGCCTGGAGCAGCTGGAGCGCAAAAAGGAGACCCAGCGCCTGCTGGAGGAGGAGGACTCGAAGCTCAAGGGCGGCAAGGCCCCCCGAGTGGCCGTGCCCAGCAAAGTCACCCGCGCCCAAATTGAAGAGACGCTCCGGCGAGACCATCAACACAAGGAAGCCCCAGAGCAAGGTGGGGCAGTGCCCCTTTGAGCCGCCCTCTTGCCCACTAAAGAACAGGCAGAGGACTGCGTCAGGTCTGAGTCTAGACCCCCTTTCTTATCCCTGGAGATGCTGCCTGGGCTCTGCCTGGTGAAGGGTGGGTGGGCGGCAGTCTAGCACAGTCAGCAGAGGCACACACTGGTGTACTTCGCTCTGCACCCGATCTCAGCTTGTGCCTCCCTCGCCCCCCTCCTCCCCTGGAATGCCTGGGCGGTACCCCAGGCTGAGGAGACTGGCAGTCCCAATATGAGTCTTCCCTGCGTGCCCAGCTCCCGGGAAGTTAGGAGGGCAGTGAGCTGCGCGCAGAGAGGGTAGGACCACCCTGTAGGTCAGTTCTGCGAGGGCTTTCCAGCTTGAGTTGTGTTTTATGCCATCGTTCTCTCGCTTGTTCCTCCACTGTGTCTGTGTATCTGCGTATAACTCTGTCACCCGACTGGTTACCCATCCCCAGCTGAGAAATCCAAGAGCCACCTGGAGGTGCCGCTGGAGGAAAACGTGAACCGCCGCATACTGGAGGAGGGCAGCGTGGAGGCACGCACCATTGAGGACGCCATTGCTGTGCTCAGGTAGTGGGAGGGGGCCTGAACCTTTGGGGTGGGGCTTGGACTTCAGGGAGGGGCTTGAGCCTCTAGGGTGGGGCTTGGACTTTGGCGATGTTGTGGGGTAAGTCCGGGTGGGGATTGAACCTCTGGGACCAGACCTGAGCGTCAGGGGGCGGGGCCGCGCTCCAGACCCCCTGAAGTCCTGTGTCCTGCAGTGTGGGGGAGGAGGCTGCAGACAGGCATCCGGAGCGTCGCATGCGAGCTGCCTTCACCGCCTTTGAGGAGGAGAACCTGCCTCGGCTCAAGCAAGAGAACCCCAATATGCGGCTGTCGCAGCTGAAGCAGCTGCTCAAGAAGGAGTGGCTGCGCTCACCAGACAACCCCATGAACCAGCGGACCGTGCCCTTCAACAACCCCAAGTGAGCCCCGAACTGGGGGAGCCGCCCCACCGCCGGTCAGGGTCGTGAGCCCGCATTCCCTCTCACCTGATCAGCTCCCAGAGTTACAGAGGGGTCCAAGCCAGCACATGTCCTGGAGGCTAATTGGCATCATCAGCCATGCCTCCCACCAAGGGTCCCTGCTCTGAGTAACACCTCCTTCCAGTGTGCATTCCCTGGTTGCGTGCCCAATAAAGGTGGTCGTGAGGCAAAGTGTGCACTTGTAGTCACCAGGGGCAGATGGGTGGGTGGTGGAGAGTTGAGGGCTGGAGTGAGGGGGGATATATGGGCTACAGCCAGAGATGACAAGAACTCCCAGTGGGGCCCTGTTGCAGCAAGCACCGGAGAGCCGTGGCTGGCTCCTGGGATGCCACCTCCTGGCCGAGCCACTTGTCCAGTAAGGAACCCGTACCACCATTCCTGAGTCTTGACAGGCTCCTGCAAAGGTGTGACACAGAGAGCTTGAGGCATCGGCTCCAGTTCATTCAGGAGAATGAATCGGGAGAATGGAGGCGATTTGTTGGTGTCCTGAGAGCCTGGTTCAGAGTCACGGGCCAGGTCACATGCTGTGCTTGGGGTCAGGAAATGGTGGCTGCTCTGCTCTTGTTCCAACACGGGGGCATCTGGGTGGGGTCCTGGGCAGGCTTCCCAGTGGAGGATTTCTTCAGAGTAGGCCTTAGCGGGAGATGAATCAGTTTCCATCACAGGCCAAGGTCTGGGGGCTGGAGCAGCAGGTGGATCCTGGTAGCAATGAGCATCTTTTGGGAGGACACGGGGCTGGGAGGGGTTGGGTAAGATCTGAACCTGGTTCCTGCTTCAAAGTGCTTAGTCACCCTTCGGGGGTCAACAGAGAGGGAGGGCAGCTGGAAGATGGGCCGACGTGTAGGAAGCAGGGTGTAAGCATTTACCAGGTCACTGCTGGGGCTCCCACTCAAGTAACTCCCTCCCTGTACCCACAAGACTGCCCCTGAGGCTTCCCACCCATTCCTTGCACTTTTTTTTTTTAATCCTTACCCAAGGATATATTTATTGATTTGAGAGAGAGAGGAAGGGGGGGAACAATTGGTTGCCTCCTGCATGTACACACCCTGACTGGGCTCAAACCCACAACCTTTTGGTATATAGGGCAACACTCCACACTCCAACCAACTGGGCTGGCCACCCAGCCAGCCCCAACCCTCATCTCTCCACCCTCCTCTCAGCTCCAGCCCCTCCTGCCTCTTTGTTCTCAGCTTCTTCAACCTTGTTCCTCTTCAGGGCCTTTGTCTTGTTGGTACCCTAGAAAGAAGGCTATCCTCAAGTCTCAGGTGCAGATCCTCACAGACATCCCCAACTGTGTGGAGTCAGGGCTGGGCCAAAGCGGGCCAGGCTCTGCCTAGAGGTGAGGAAGTAGAAGGCTTCATGAGGGAGGGCATTGCAAAATGGATGCAAGGAGTTCTCTGCCCAGGCAAGGGACAAAAAAGGCGAAAGGAGTCAAACGTGCAAAGGCCTGGAGGTCACAACTCTTCTTCTGTTTACGGGAGAGGTGCCATTACTAATCAGGTGTAGCTGAAGTGCCTTATGGAGGGTGCCTGAAACAATGCCAGCTGGTGTAAAAACTAACCAACATAGAGCACTGGCTTCTTTTGGGGACCCCCAGGAACCAACTCTGAGACAAGAACTACAGGGCATGTGAAGGATTCCAGTGCGAGCTAGGGAAGTAAGATGGAGGGAAGGAGCCCTGCAGGGGTGTCAATTAAGGCAGTCCCTACTAGGGAGCCCTGGAGACAGCCCCTTGAGATAATGGTCCTTTTTACAGATATGAAAACTAAGTCATCTGCCTGGGACATAGGAAGTACCCAGGGCTGTTGGGGAGACAGCAGGGTGGTGGTGGGGCCATGAATCAGAGGTAGTGGTGTCTGCCAAAAGCCATTTGGGGAGCCCAGATGGCTCCCCACAAATAGAGGCCTGTGCCTCTTCTGGGGCTTAGGCCAGGGCCTTAGTGGGTTTGAGCCTGTTAATTCCTGTACAACATGTGACTAAGAACAGTAGCTACTCATAAACTATCTCGAGAATCAACAAGATGGTGCCTGGGAAGGCCATAACCTCAAGAAGGGCTTGGCAAGGGAGCCTCCGACGTGGTGGCATTGGTGTTTGGGGGCCTGGGATGAGGGAAAATCAGGGACCAATGGTGATAAATCCCAGGAAAGACGCCTGTCAGGCTGAGGAATGGGGCTTCACCCCATGGATATGGGGAGCTCTGGTGGTTGTGTTACAAAGGGAAGACGAGTAGTATCCAGTGTCGAAGCTGGGGAGCTGCCCATGACAAGCTCTGCTGGAGACCCATAGTGGGAGAGCCGGTAGCCTGGAGAGTAAAGATAAAATTAAGGACAGAAATTGAAGGGACTGCCGTCAGTCTTCAGAAGCAAAAGATGTTGATGATAACGTCTGCTTCCTTTCACAGAAAAACCCCATCTCTCTCCGACCCTGCCCCCAGCGAAATCCCGGCCCGCGCGCGCGTGCGCACAGGCAGCAGGGAATCCCCGGCTTCACCGCAATGCGTGGGAGGGGGCGTGAGTTGGGAGTTCCGTGTGCTCCCAGACCTCCCTGCGAGTGTAACCAGGACGACCGGGCGGGGCAGCGGGACTGCCAAGCGCTCTCTGCGCTTGCGCGGGGGTGTCTTTTTTTTTTTCCACGCTTCAGGGCTTTCCCGTAGTGAGCGGGGTCGCTAGGAGGGAATGCCGCGTCCAGCGCGCATGCGTCAGTCCCCGCTGGTGGGCCAGGGAATCCTCTGCCGCCGCAGTGCGCACAGAGGGCGGGGCGGGGAAACCGGCTCAAACCGGAGTGGGGTTCGCTGAGGAGGTGGCGGGGGAGGAAGCGAGAGCGGGGTCTTCCCTGGGTTCCCGCTAGGGCGCTAGCCGTCACCTTGGCAACCGGCTCGCGGGCCGCATTGCGGAGGTGGCGATGGCAGCGGCTGCGGGGAAGCCGAACGGCTCTGCGCTTGCGTGAAGCTTCTTGCTTGGGCCGGGGTTCCCCATCTTGCGCCGGGGGATCCACTGAAGAAGATGCAGGGAGGAGAGGAGAGGGTGGGCGTCGGGGGAAGGGCGAGTGAGGAGGGAGGGGTTGTGCAGGAGGGGCTGGGTTCCGGGCGGGGTGGGATGGGTGGAGAAACATGCAGGGTAGGGATGGTAGGGAGAGGGGTGCAGAAGGAGGAGGTGGGGGCGAGCACAGTAGGAGGCGGACAACAAAGAAAGAGGGAGAGGAGGGGGCTTTGGGGAGCAGTTAAGGAAGACGGACAGTGTGAGGACAAAGAGAAGCTATTATGAAAGTGGTACGGGGGATGGAGGATGTGTGTTCTGGGAGCGATGGGAGACTGGGAGAGAGGATGGATACCTTCGGGAACCCCACCCCAGCAAACCCTATAAGATTCCGGCCTAGAGTTTACATATTTAGAAAAATAAATAGAGGACGCCCAGTTAAACTTGACTTTGACATAAACAATGAATATCATTTTAAGTAGGTCCCATTCCATGCCCAGTATTTTATCTGGCAGCCCTAATCTTGGTCGGGCACCCCCCCACCCCGCCCGCTTTCTTCTCCTCCCTCCCCCCACACTCATGTCCTTTGAACCTTTCTGAAAGCCATTGGGGACCTCGCAGATGATGCTTTTGTCTCTCACCTCCTGGTTCCCTACAGCCCTACATGCTGGGTCCCACCCGGACCCCATTCCCTATGCCATCTCACACCCCTGGCCTTCAACGCCAGCATGAGGTCCAGTCCTGGCCAAGCATTGAAATGCGCAAAGGCGTGGCACTCACAGGCACCTTCAGGGGCCTTCTCTCTCCCCCAACCCTCACCCTCCACCATGGGCTTGGCCCTGCTGAGGTGATAGGTCCCCACTCATCCTAATTGCCATCACCTCCCGAAACCTCCAGAGCTTCCTAATCAGTGCCTGCCACCGGGAATCCCCGCCCTCTAGCTCACTCTCAGTTTCTGGGTATATAACAGTTAGTAGGTGCTTGAAAAACATTTAAGGTTAATTTTATGGAGGCAAGTGTTTGATTCCTCATCAGGAACAATAAACAATGTGTTTCCTGTCTCATAGGCACACATACCCTCTGTGGTCCTTTGTACCCTCCAACAAAGCAATTTTCCTTTTATCTTTACCTTTGGTTTTAAAAGTGTAAGATAATAAAACTTTGTGGGAAAACTAATAATGGGGAAGTTCAGCTCCTGAGGACCCCTAGCCCTGGACAATCTCCAGTGGCTCCCCACCCCCATCTTTGCTAATACTGGCCATGGGAACACTTCAACAGTTGCTTGTCCACTCAACAGTATGGGAACTTGGTCTCTGTAGATTATCACACAGCGGCATATTATTCTGGAAATGTGCTAAGTGGTCCCTCTGTTGGGAACCTGGGTGTTTTCAGTTTTGATGTCCTAGGCAACACTCCTGCAGAAGCAGGGTCTGGATCTTTTTTTCATGTCCTAGAAATGCCTTCCAGAGTAACCAGCTGGGTGGTGCTGTCCCTTTATTTGGAGCTGGGTAGCTTCTGGAGTAGTGCTGAGTCAAGAGTGGCCCCCTCCTCTCATCAGCCAGGTCCATGTTGCATTGGGTCCCACATTCTCTCCCCAAGAAGGTGAATAAGTGAATAGGCCACACCAGGAATTGAGGAGAATAAACTAGGGTGATGTGCACAGAGAAGGGCTGACTCGACAGGAGGTGACATTGGACCACACTCTGAAACACAATAGGGTGTGAGGAGAGCCAGAGAAGGACAATCCTAGCAGAAGGAGCAGCAGACGCAAAGGCCCTGAAACTGGGTGGGTTAGGACAGATGCTGGGCATGGCCAGAGCATAGTGAATGGTCCAGGGAGACAGCTGGAGCCCTAGTGTGGGAGGGAGAGCCACACTACATGGGACTTACAGGAGCAGGCAATTCAGGGTCCTCTTGGTTCAAGGAGGAGAGTTGGTTATGTAGGGTAGGGACCTGACTACTCACATGACTGAGGACAGAATTTTGTGGCTGCATCATGGAGAAGGGACTGTGGGGAGGCAGTGGGGACAATTGGTGCAGGATTGGGAGGAGACTGCTGAGGGCTACACGAGGCAATTGTCGGGGTTCAAGGGTGGGGGACCCCTCAAAATGTGTATTCTCTGATTGCCAACTCCCTATTGTTCATACAATGTCCGACTAAGCATGGGCTTCAGCCTATCCACCGGGGTGGTAGTC